CAGGACACAGAGAACACTGTCTGGGAACAATAAATGACACGAGGCAGGTTTTAAGTTTAGCTAGCCCCACATAATCTTTATCAGCTTCCTCTCAAGGCCTCCCACATAAACCATGCATGCTATGCTAATGCAGCCTCAACCCAAATCCAGTGTCCCTTTCAATGGGACTGCCAGTCCTAAATCACTTGAAAATGCCATTGGGTCCTGATGGAAAGTAATTGGAAATAAGATTGTAAACACTCAGATTTAAAAACCATGTACAGTACTTTAGACTTGATACATAGGTAATAGGGAGCTACTGCTGGCTCCTTAACAAGGGAATACTTGATATAGTGCTATATCAGAAGACCGATCTCCATGGAACTTAACTCACTGCAAACATAAATTAAGTTTTTCTTAGAAATAAGTCTAAATAATGAACTAAACAATGAAGTGTTAATAATGAAGGAACTGAAGATTTTTAAAAATTTCATTCTGGCATAATTCAGGGATAAATCAATTCAAATGAAAGATGTCACTGTTATTAAAACTTCATTCATTTATTAAATTATGTTTCATGTGAACAGAGTGAATTTTTAAGATTATTTGATTATTATATAAGTCAATGTCATTTCCAGTTTTTGGAAAATTGGTATTAATGCCTTGTCATTAAAAACATAACTAAATTTATCAAATTAATTTCTCAAAGGCCACCTGAAAGCCACCAGATGGCAACCTGAGCTGATGTCAAATCAGAAATGTAAGTTGCGGGTAGCCCTGAGACTATGCATCCATCACCACTCACTCATCCTGCTGGGTTCCTTTAAAATAATAAAACAGGAAGACTTTTGTACTACTTTTTAAATTCCATTTGAACATAATGAAATATGCTCTATCCACAATGCTTACAGTAATTAAAATTTTTTTCTTAATAGGAGTCCATTTGGAAATAGCACAATATGGAATGATCATTAATAGACCTGCTTTGGTGCCTGAATAAATGCCTATCAAGAGCACAGGCACACATTAGTAAATTTCCTAAAGAAAATCCATTTTCATTTCAAATTCTGACATTTTATTTAGAAAAACTATACCATTTCTTTTAATTATTTCAGTAAACATAATGAGGGTATTGCTAACTACACCTCAGAGTACTTTATTTTCTCCATTTTTTAGTAATATGAGTCTACATGTAATTAAAGGCGTGCTGCATTAATGATGCCGAAGGTCTCCAAGGGAAGCATTTAATGTCCACCTCATAATATTATGCCAAAATTACATGCACAGAAGACATTTTAATAATCTTTGTTTCCTAATTTAGTTTTGATTGGCTCTGAAATCCATAGCTGCACTCAAGGGCTCACATTTCTACCATCATCAGCACTTCTGTGTCATAAATTGTATAAACGCCTATGACTTCTTCCATCTGTAGGCTTCTTCTGAAAGCTTCTGTTTAACTTACCCAGAAAATCAGCCACAGACTGGAGATAATGGCAGATAATTTTGCCATTTTTAAGCTACTGGGGTGTTGCATGAAGATATGACAACTAAGTTTGTCTAAACACAAAGGACAAATCATAGCTTTACACCCAGGTTCAGGTCATCAGATTTGCTCTTTATGCAAACTGAAACAAACTGTATTCATTCGATGATCTCTATGTTCTGACAAAGCTGTGCTACCTGAAGCTTTTATGCAGCTGAAGGAAGGACACAATCTATACTAATGTTATCGCAGCCTAAAAAAAAATGTTTTTAAATGCTTAACTCTCTTCTACCCTTCATATTCTTCCCCCTTAACAAAAACAGAATTTTTTTAAGCCATCAACAACTTACAAGGAATATATCAAACTAAACTAAAAAGGAAATGTAAGGCCTCAATATACAAAGTTCATGCATATACATGTATATGTGTATATCTATTTCTATTCCCCATTCTACTATCATAAAACAGAAATGGCAAAATCTCCCAAAAAACTAATATTTAAAATGCTGGTACTATTACTATACAAAAACTTAAAATTACTGGGACATTAAAGAGGTATTAAGCAGGTCGCCTAGGTTAATAAGCAGAGATCTAAATGGAATCATGTGGTCCGTGTTCTCTAAAATCTCACTCTAAAGTAAATGCAGCATTCACGGATGGTCACTGGCATATAATGATGGAGGTGATGCAAAAAGCAGAGTACAGACTCTTAGTGCACTGCCAATGAAATTCACCTTTTATAAGATAAATTGGCTATGGGAATTATAGGGTATTTCTCTGACCAAATGTCCCCTTGGTGCTCAGAATTGCTAGTCACAGCTAATAAGGGTGTCACTAGCCGAGTAAGTGATTACTGAAACCATTCTGCAGCAAACATTTACATATCAGGGCTAAGCAGTGATTGTGCTTATATGGCAGCTTCCCTGATGTAATAGGCCGTAACGACTCTGAAGGAGCAGGTATGGAGGCACGTGTCAAGGAGGGGAGAACGTGAAAGTCATAACACAAATGACTTTATGGATTCCCATTAGACCTCGGGCTAATGAGCACCCAAACAGGTCTGATATGACAGCATCCTGAAGCAGCTTTACAGCCTTGTGTCAGGAACCCTTATACTAAAGAATTTTATGGAAAATACAAAACTGGAGAGAGGATATGTTGCTATATTAGGTCACTGTCTTTGACTTGGTATACAATATGCATACAAGCAGTCCCAAACTTTGTATTTAAAGGGTAGATTATTAAATCTGTCATGCCAATCAAATGTATATTAAGGAGTCCAAGTTATGCATTATAGGTAACATCTCACAAATCTCACACTCTCTCTTGAAAAACAATTTTGTTTAATGACAAGCTTAAACCCACCAAGGCTTCTGAATATTTGCATCATAGTAACATGCAGTATTTTAAAACACTGTCCTATGGAGTTTCATATAAATGTGTAAAGTACATATATTACTGCACTTGAGAAAGCTGAGGGATATCATTTTCATTTTTTCTCTTTTGGACTCTAACATCACTTAGTCACTGAACTGCTAGGAATTGGCCTAAGAACCTTAGACCATGTAACTGTAAAAAGCAGGCATGAGAAGTTCTATAATGTACCCTTTCCCACTTAAGATGGGAGAGAGAGGTATGCTGAAGACACCAGGTAAACCCTTCAACATGATGGACAGGAGCAGTGCTGAGCAAGCATCCTCTTGCCAGAGGCTGACATCAGGGAAGCTGCACGTTCAAATCACATGTTGAGCACATCATATAGAGCCTGTGCAAGTACAAACAGCACTCTGAAAAAGGCTATTTTACTTAGATCTGTAAATTATTAAACAATTCCAGAAGAGGCATATTGCTAGCAGTGCATGCAAGCCAATACATAGAGTGTCTTAATAATATTAAGACTTGGCCCAGAACTATCCTCTGCTAAGGACTGGAAGATTGCACCACCTGTCACCTCAACAGCCATTTCACCCCTAGATTTGCAATAAGATTTTAAATTTTACCTTTTATGAGAGATTATTAGAAACCTTATATAAAGCCAACAAATGCCTCTGCTCTCCTTTACAGATTTATTACAGTTTTCCTAATGTATTTGAATAAACTCTTCTTCTGCTAGTCTCTGGTTTCTAAAAGGCAACTTTTCTGCAAAGCACATACCTGCTTCCCAGAGACGGTCCTCTCTTTGAAATATTTAGTCTTTCAGAGCACTTTAGTCATAGTGACACCTAATAGCCAAGCTCTTTTTCTCACTCTCCACAAAATCAGGTTTAGACTATAATTCAAACCAGTCCCCAAAGGCACTTCTGAAAAATGGCAAGCCCTTAGCTTTTAGGCGAAAAGACTCTTTAGTGCTCAAAATTGTTTCCTGTTACAAAACCTTTTCTGCAGTGCTAGGTCTAAGATGATCTTATGCTAATTTAACTCACTAGGGACTGTGAACAGATGCTACTTTGATTAATAGTTTCACTATCCTGAAAATGCCAGGCCAGGTTCAAGATAATAAAGTCAGGTAAAGATACTATTAAAATCTGCCATACCATTACATCTGTTATATAGCGAAAAATGAGATCCCAGTTCATGTATCAAATAAACCCTATGTATAATAATAATAAAACAACATACATCAAATGAACATACTGTTTGAATTCTTTAGCACACTGATTTACATCATTTTAATGATCAAAGTCTTTACTTACACCTTATGGGTATATTTTCAGCAATGTCTCTAGTAAAAAATTCAATGTGTCACATAGCATTTACCTTACCACCCAGAATGCCTTTTCTATACTATGAAAACAATGAATTATCTAACTTTGCTTATCAAAAGGAGAGTATTTGAATTTTCATGCTCCATGTCATTACTTATTTAGGAAACATTTTCAATATTCCAGCCTTTTCTTTGGAAAACCATAACCCTTACAAACAAGAGGCTGGATAAGTTGACAAGACTCTTCCAGAAAAGCTTCTCATGAGGCTCTGGCTCCTGTCTCCTAACCAAGAATTTCCAAACCACAGCAGTTTCCCGATGAGGAAAACCATGAAATCTACTCAAGCCTTGAACTGTAGAACACAGGACTGGCCTTCATTTAAAGAAGCATGTGAAGAAACCTTTATGTTTTTAAAGTTGGCTTACCAATGGATTTTATCCTTAACCTATCACATGTGGTCTAATCATATTCCCAATCTGCATTCTGAAATTTAAACTTCAACTGGACTTTTTGCTTTATAATTTATATTCAGTGCATTTGTCTCAGTGAAACCTTTGGTTCGCAGGAAGTGTGTTAATCACACTGTGCCAAGTGTAATTCTGGGTGGTGCAGGCCTCCACTGAGAATGCAACTAGCCTGTTAGCACAAATCTGCCACCTGCAGATTCTGCTCATTGCCTGAGTTGAGTTTTCACACTCACCACATTTGTATGCACATACAACATGCCAGCACTTAACATGAAATATGCAATTCAAAAAGGTTGTCTCACCATTGCACAGAATGTCTCAGGAGGGTCTCCACAGGTAATGTCTGGAGGATCCAGTTTCACTTTCAGATATTTTGTCATGTCTGTGGATTCCGGCTGACAGGCCATGTAATCCCAAACTTTCCCTTCTTCTGTATAAATCTGAGTCTTACACACATCATAATGCCCCCACACTAAAGGGTAGGGCTGCATCACGGAGGACACTGTAACCCAAAGGGCATGAATTGACAGGAATCTTGACAAATACATCTCTAAATTCTTGGCAATCTTCGTGGTCACTAAAGCAGCTTATCTATGTCTACACGTAGGTAGGTTTGTATATTAAAAAAAGAAAAAAAAAAAAGAAAAAGAAGATGAGACTTCAGTGTAGATTCCAAAACTAAAAGTGAAGGGTTCATATATTGCACATGATCAGGTATATTGAGGACTTTGGTGGAAGCCTAGCATACTTGTGTACTAGGCATTAGCAACAACTTGCAGCTTTTTCATTGTCCTAGAATGCATCTATTAGCCTTGGGTCTAGTTTGGTTTTTCATAAAAGATGTCCAGTAGCAGATAATGATTTATCAAAATGATGGCTCTCCTATTGTACATCCAATAACCCTGGGTGCTCGACGCTCACAGTTCACAAGGGATGCTCAGGCGCACTGAGGTGTCAGTAGTTAAAACAAAAGGACGAGTGTCGATCGCTCGGTGTCTGCTGCCCATCAATCATTCTTCTCTTCTGGCACCAACACCCTTTTAGAAACAATAAGAATAAGAGTTATTGTCCCACAATCAATGCATTACAAAATATATGATATGTTGACATTTGGGAAGTTAGATGCAATATGAAGCAAATTGGTGTAATATGGATAACCTTTACTCAGCTGCTTTGCTAGAATGAGCAAACCACAGAAATCACTCACATTAGGAAGAATTTTGATATGAAGGATTTAACTCTTCCATAACAAAGACAGATGTTTGTGTTCCAGGTGACTTACAGGTTTTCACTTCAAAAATTATATTCCCATCTTGACAAAACTGAAAGCAAGCAGCTAGATTTAAACATTTCTACATATATTGCAGTGCTGGAAAATCTTCCAGGGGAACAATGGGGGAAATGAGTGCTTTTATAACAATGGCAAAGAAGTGACAACTACTTCTATGCCTTTTGTCTCTTGGCAAAGAGACCCTAAAAATCTACAAATTCCTTGTACATTTCTTAGCTTTTGTTAACTGGAGTGAAAAACCAGCATTGTTGGCACAAGCCTGTCCCTTTGGATTTGCTCATTATATTAGAAGAATTTAGCAGCTTTTGTTTAGCTGCATTTAGTGATAAAGATAACTTGGTTCTCTGAAAAAATATTCAAAAATAAAACCAAAGGAGCAAATTTTCCTTTCATAAGAATTTTCTATTTTCTTACATCTTTTTATAGCCACTACATCTGCATTTGCAGTTACTCTCTGTAACAGAAGAAGGGAATTTGTCCCAAAGGCAAATATAATACACTGCTTTAAAACTAAAAGCTCTGTAGTAAAACGCACAATTTAAAATGCACATATAAAAATAGCTGAGGGTGAGTTAACAGGCCATGAAGCAGAATAATATGGCACTAATTCTAAGAGAAAATAAAAATTACTGTTTAAAAGTACTTTTGGCTAACTGATAATACAGCCTACAGACCATGAGTTCAAGTCATTGGTGAGTTTACCTGGCAACTTTTCTCTTTAGAGATCACTGTCTAAATCTAAACAATCATATTTGGAATCCAGGTGTAAGAAGAGTGCATTTGCTTAATTAGCTGATTTATATTGTCACAGTCCCAATAAAATGTAAAAGGACAAAAAAGTCTACAATTTTAGGAAATACCATATAGACCCTTCAATTCACACTAAGCAGTTTAAATATGGAAGTTCACTGTCCTCACACAATCTTATAGAAGGAATCTACTATATTTAAATAATATACCATCTTAAAATGAACTAAGCCACAGAGACTATGAAATGCCAACAGATGGTTGAATTGTGTTTCCATAGCAAAGTAATTTATAATAATTGCTTTATGGATGCAAGTGCAATTTTCATTATATTCAATTCATAAAATGCTATCATACTGCTGCAATTTGTGATATTTTCTATTAGGAAAAGTGTTGAATATTTGAGTTCCTATGAAGCAATAATTAGCAGTTTGTCTAAACATGTATAAACTACAGATTTGAATCTGCCTCTTTCTTGTAATGTAAAGACCATATTGTGCTCAGTACATTTTGAAATCTTAAACCAAAAAGAAAAAAATCACAGAGAATGTTGTGGCTACTACAGCCTTCTGCTTTTTTCAGATTCATTACTAATTTTTAGTTGATATTTTCAGAAGCAGCTGACATTTTGACAATTAATAATCTGAAAAGGTATTAAAATAATACAAATTTGCATTTTCTAGATGCATTTTTCAACTGCGTTTACTACTTTATTACAATAAGAACAAACACTTTCATGGAGGCGGAAATGGAAGGGAGGGAAAAGTAGGCATTATAACTGAAGCAGTATAAAATCTACTACACCAGAAATTATTAACTTAAATTCTTAGTTTCAAATACGTAACAACATGCTAATCAGCACCATATACTCTTGAAGACCTGAGATGAGCTGCTTTGAGTTTAAAACGAGTGAGCACAACAACTAATTTTTAATATTATTTTTAAAATATGACCTTAAGTGTATATTTGAATTCTCTGAGATTAATAACATTTTAATCAATAAATATTATTCTCCCTAATCTGCTTATTCTTCACTACTGTCTTCATCCACTTTTTTGCCTCAGCTGAATCACAAAATGAAGGATGACCATATAAATTTATGATAAAAATTTGGTCACTAAGGAAATGTATGGGAACCTGGGACTATTTCCTGACACAAGAGCAATCCCAGTGCAGCGAATTCTCATAAAGTACACCAGAATTATAATGATGGTCATTACGCAGAATTATGGACTACACCATTAATCGAATTTAGAAAACTGACAAGAGAAAAATGCAGAGGAGTGCAAGACATTTGAATATTAGGCAGCTGCAGGACTGTGCAACAGACATTCTTGACAAGAAGCAGCCAATTATAGCTTAAATTTCTGGCACATAACCAGTTGTGATTAATAGTTTTCCATTACATTACAGACATATTATTAATGTATTAAAAATGTCAAGCTTTGGCAAGCACTAATATGGCATGGCTCAGTTAGTCTGCAGAATTTACACTTAATGAGCTCCCATTGACACAGGAAAAGATATTGACCACAGCATATTACAGATCAGGAGCAGAGGGTCACTAAGCTGTTCTTTAACATAATTATTTGATTTCATTCCAACTTTTATGTTTGTAGCCTCACTTAGTGTGTATCCTTCACATTAGGGTCTACTTTTCATTGCCATACACTTCAAAGAAAATCCTCTGACTTTAAAATCAGTAAGAAACTAATAAATCTATGAACTCCCATGCCACACACTGGAAAAGAAGCCCCTGTCAAAATCAGGAATTTTCTATTAAAGTATAATTAAGGAGTTTTCAAAGAAAATAAAATGATTTTAAAATAGAGCATGATTTACCCCTTACCTAATGGTACCAGTTCCCATCTGGCTGGGCTTTCAACCAGGTTAAAATCACCAATAGCATCTTCAAAGCTAGGTCATTACAGCAAATAGCCAGGCAAACCGATTATGAGGACAGTCAATGACATATCTGGGGATTTAATATACCAAACCAATCCCTTCTGGCCCATAACTGAACTAATTGCCAAGTAACGTGGACTTTGAATTTGTCTCAAGTGCTCACCTAAATGTGAGCAGCTTCAGAAGGGCCCTGCACAGCCCCATTTCTAGTTCTTAACTTTGTGAACCCTGGGAACTCACTGTAATCACACAGTGACATCATCTCTACCTGTGCACTCAAGTATTAGGAAGTCCTCTTGGATAGAAATACCCATTAATATGCCATGAGTACTCCACAGACCTCTGACTGGTGTATAAATTTGCAAAGCCAACATGAAAATACAAAGTTATGTCATGCCCATGATAGATGTTACTGATCTGGACTAAAATGAGCTATAACATGGCTTTGCATACAAGGAACATATCTTTGTCCAGGGTCCTGTAGCTAATTCCCTTCCACCTTGTGTTAACTTTGCAGAAGTCATTTCACAGGTCTTTTCTTTCATTACAAAAGAAGCCTCCTAAATATTACATGGAAGTAATAATGATCAAACTTATAGACAATTATACTCTAAAAACAACTGCCAATGTCATCAAAAAAGAGGAAAACATGGACAGTAAATCCACTAACTCTAGCTGGCTCTCAGTACCCACTTTATTATATAATCTCACGAGGAGGCGGGGGTGGTGATAGTAGGCTATTTATTCCATAAATACTCAGCTCTTCAGGGGCACCTGAAATAGACAGCTATTGACTCATTCCTCATAGACATTAAGAATTTTATAAATATGCATGTTTCTGAATGGGAAGGAACAAAAAGAACATTGATATAATCATATTCCATTGAGTGAAAAATACAAGGAGATAAAGACATACCCAAATTCCATAACATATCAAAATTAGCAGCTTCCAACATTGTCATAATGAGATTAACTAAATGGGATATTTAACATATATTAAATGCTCTCTGTATTTATTTATGTGTTGTGAAGAAAGCATATTCTAGTCTTCTTAATGGTAGACATTTGCTTCTATCCTTTTGTTAACTGTCTTTCAAGATAAAGAAATTTAACATGTACTGCAACATCATTGGCATATTTTACTCATACTTGATTGGGTATTATGAGCAACTGCCTATCAAGAGATTCTTAATAAAACCAAAGAGCACACCCTTAGTATTTGAAAAATCTCTGCTTTCACCAAGAGAATAATGATTAGGGAAATTAGAAAGCATGTATTTTGCAGGATGTTTGGGGATGGAATAATACATAAAATTATTTCATAAAAGTCTAGAATAAATATGCTGTTTTATTAATGTAGAACAACAAATCTTTCATTGTCTTGTAGGGAAGTTCAGAAATTCAAGGTTTCAAGTACACATTTGAGAAAATCTACACCCACCTAAAGTTTTGAAACAAAACTCTGGATTCTGAAGATAAAATTGCTTCTAAAAGTACACTAAATCTCTTACTGACCTATAATATAATTCATACATACACATTTTTCTGTCAAGATATAATTAATTTTCTGAGTTGTACAAAATTTTCTTTCCAATTCACTTGGTGTTTTTGTAACTCTAAAACTCTCCAAATCTTTACAACAGTTAGAAAATTTATCAACTAAGTGTGTAATGGTTTAATTTTTTTTAATTAGTATTCGATTTGTTTTTTTCTTCCAGAATAATAACAGAGGCAAAGACAGGTAAATGCACCACTTACAAACATACAAAAGGAAACAGAAAAATATATTAGCCTCCTTCTAAAAAGCTAACCTGAAACACATACATCCAGTGAAAGTTGACAAAACAAAAATATCACTAGGAAAAACAGCTTTATGTGCATATAAAATCATCAACTATTTTCTTACAAAATGTTAGGGTCACCTTTTTAAATTTTCACAATAGGAAGTATCGCCAAATTAATAGCCAACTATATAGAATTTTGAATTCCCTTATGTTGGTCTTCAGCGGTGAAACAGATCTTATTTCATGGCACCCAGAAAAACTAGGAAATATAGCCCTTATGTATGTAAACTAGAACAACCTTCTGTATGAAACACTTGCATTTTTTTTCTTTGCATGCTAATCCACATGCAAAGAACCAAATTTCGTCTTAAAGAAAAACTGAAAGCTACTTATCTTCCAAAAGATTCTTGAACAGTTATTGAGCTGATTTTCCTTTGCCAAAGAGAAAGAGGGTGAGGGGAGTTTAAGGCATTCAAAGTGGCAGTTCAAAATACTTATATGAAACCTGCGATTGTTAATTCCCCAAAGGTTAGAGATGACCTCAAAGACTAGACAAATCAGAAAAATATTGCCCCTACTGCGAAAAAGAGAATTTCTGGAAAACTTTTTTCTAACAAGCTGAACCATTAAGTATATCTGAATAAATGATTTTGTTACAAGATTTTTCTATTTTCCCCCCAATTCTGTAAAATAAAACTTTTAGTATTTTCAGTCATAAAATAGGGCCTTATTTCTAGAGCAAATCTACTGCCAGATACACCATATGTTTAGTGGAATTCTGAATCTTACTCAGAATTTTCCATTCCAAAGATTGACAAACTGTTATGATAAGGAGTGGTTCCATTGCCATTCCCTGGGAAGAATGGGGAATGAGGTGGAAAACAAAAGCCTCTGCACTCTGGAAATCTGTACCTGATGTGTGGATGGAAACGCAATCTCCAACTTTTCGAAACAAAGTTGCTTAAAATCTCCACTTGGAATTTTCCTCCCCTCCCCTGTAAAAATGACAGCCTTAAGTGGATTTCTGGAAAAGAAAAAAGAAAAGAAAAGGAGGGGGGGCGGGGGGGGGGG